GGAAGAAGATATGCAAATGAGAGCATGAGATATGCAAATGGTGTGCTCATTTGCATTTTCTCTTCCGCAAAAAACCCACAGTGTAGACGTAGCTTGAACCTTCTAATGACAGAAAGTTAAAAGACATTGGTCAAGCCAGAGACAAAAGGGAATCACAAACTGCATTTCCAAGTACCAGATCAAAAGAAGACCAAGATTTTTTAAAATTTTAAAATAGTTGTAAATAATAATCATCCATCTGCTAGATGCAAGGTACAACCCCCACTTTGAATTATGCTGTACTTCCAGGCTTTTGCCTTTGTGTCTCATGTGTCCTTTGTGTCTTATGACACAAATCTCAATATGCTGTTGGACTTACATCCACAATTCACCAAGGAGCAAACATTGTAGGAACAAAAGAAAAATATTCAAGAGTAGCTAGTTACAATAAGGATAAAAAGGATAGTTATAATAAGGATAAAAAGCATTCCAGTCCACTCAGGATGGTTTATCATGAGTTCTACGCTTTTGTGAAAAAACATAATGAACACAATTCACCACGCACAGCTGTTTTAATAGCTGTTCTGTTCATATTGCAAGGAAATGCACCCCAGTGCAGAAGGCCAATGCAAGGCACAACTTAAAACATTTATGCATAAATTAAAACTACTGAAGCTCTCGTGTGTGGGGCCTTGAATGGACTGCCTATCAGTTATTACAAAGCACTCCAGTGTTGTAATAACAAATTTAAAAAATTTTTTTTGGAAGAAATACAATCCCTCATATTCTTCATCTCTCATTGCAGAAGATAAAGAAGAAACTTTCCCTGCAGGCATATTATTCCCTATACATACCTTCTGATGGGCTTCTTTTGACCAGCTACTTCAGAGACAAAATGCTGGATTAGGTGGAGAACTAGTCTGATCCACTACGACAATGCTCACATTCCTAAATCTTTCATACAAGTTTCACTTCATTTAATGATGGGGACTATTTATCAATTATATTAATAATGCGTAGAATCTTCCAAACTGAACAATTTCAAAGTATTTTACAAAAGAACATAAGAACGGCCATACTGGGTCGAAGCAAAGGTCCATCTAGCTCAGTATCCTGTCTTCTGACAGTGGCCAATGCTCCAGAGAGAGTGAACAGAACAGGGAATCATCAAATGATCCCTCTCCTGTCAGCCATTTCTAGTCTCTGGCAAACAGAGGCTAGGAACACCATTCCTACCCATCTTGGCTAATAACCATTGATAGACCTAACCTCCATGAATTTATCTAGTTCTTTTTTAAACCCTGTTAAAGTCCTGGTCTTCACAATATCTTCTGGCAAGAAGTTCCACAGGTTGACTTTGTGGCGCGTGAAGAAAAACTTACCTTTGTTTGTTTTAAACCTGATACCTATTAATTTCATTTTCTGACCCCTAGTTCTTATGTTTTGGGAACAAGTCAATAACTTTTTCTTATTCACTTTTTCCACCCAACTCATGATTTTATAGACCTCCATCATATCCCCCTTAGAGTGCATCTACACTATGCCCATAGCCCAAAATAAGCTACTTAATTTGAGCTACATAAATTGGGCAGCTTATTTTGAGTGTATTTTGAAATAGCTTATTTTGAAATTTGGCGTTGTCTACACAGCCCCAAATTTCGAACTAGAGTGGTATTCTGAAACATCCCTTAATTCTCATGGGACAAGGTTTATTGGGATGTTGAAACAGCACACCCATTATTTGGAAAGATATTTCAACATAATGGGCACACTATCAAGATGCGAAAAACGCTATTTCAGGATACTAGAAGTATAGTATACCGGAAGTATCCTGAAATAGCACTTAGAAAATCTCCTCTTTTCTAAGATGAAAAGTCCCAGTCTTTTTAAATCTCTCTTCATAAGGAACCCATTCCAAACCCTTAATCATTTTTGTTGCTCTTTTCTGAACCTTTTCCATTGCCAATATATCTGTTTTTTAGATGAGACCACATCTGTATACAGTATTCAAGATGTGGGCATACCACATCTCTTTGAACACAGAGTTAGTCTGTATCTCTGAGGTCTGTCCCAGGTAGCATTTCCCCAAAGATGCCCAGTTACTGAGGATATGTCCACACTAGCCCCCTAGTTCGAACTAGAGAGGCTAATGAGGGTGACTGAAATTGCAAATGAAGTGCAGGATTTAAATATCCTGCGCTTCATTAGCATGTTCCCGGGTGGTCGCCATTTTGGAAACTGACTAGCCCGGAATAACCGTCCGCGTCTACATGTGGCAGTGAAATGAGGGTTCGAAGTAAACCCCTTAACTAGAAATAGCTGTTAAACCTCATTCCACGAGGAGTAACAGCTAATTCGATTTAGGGGTTTACTTTGAACTCCTGTTTCACTGATGCGTGTAGACACAGGCAGTTAATCCGGGCTAGTCAGTTTCCAAAATGGTGACTGCCTGGGAACATGCTAATGAAGTGCGGGATATTTAAATCCCGTGCTTCATTTGCAATTTCGGTCGCCCTCATTAGCCTCCCTAGTTCGAACTAGGGGGCTAGTGTAGACATACCCTCACAGTCTCCTTCTGTGTGCCGGGTGCAGAGTAGCTTCTATACACAAGTACAGCCAAAGGGCCTCCCCTCTAGGGCAATCAGAAGCAGCCTGCTAGATCCCAGTTCGAAAGGCTCGCTGTCCCAGTCTATAACAGCCACATAACAGCTCCCGAACTGGATCAAACTCTTCCACAGCAGCCTACCTCCCTTTCTGCTCCGAAAACAGAGGGATGAGTCCACAGACTGCTGAGTCTTCCTCCACACATGTGTAGAGAC